GCGGGCGAATTCTGACGCTCACTTTTTTAGCATCACAATGCGGGCAGTTAGGGCCATCAGTGGCGGCTTCTGCGTGGGAGCGGCCAGGCAGAAGACGCAAAGTTTGAGTCCGTCAGCGATCCAGATGGGTCCCACGCAGATCGGGTAAACATAAATGATATCTTCGATCCATACTCCACTGGAACGCTTAAGGGATTAGCAAAGCAAATTCCACAATCCTATTTGCCGATGAATCAATGGTGAAGACCTAAGCATTATGATGAAGGAGAAAGATTCTGATAAAATTCCACTCGGTGCCGCTTATATAGGGCGATTTCCCGCCACCCTTTTTGCGCGCTCGAGCACCATTGGCCATTGCGATTCAATGGCGTTAAGTGAATAAGGCTTCAGTATTTGAGGAGAAAGGTGTTTCCCCAATGCGATCCGCTTACGCTGTATGCAACGTCGAGAGACCCTCTCGAAAGGGAACTGGTTGTGTCAAAGCAGCTATACAGTGTCAAACAGGAAATAGTTTGTCAATAATGCAAGAGGACAATAACAAATGGTCAATTTTTCAGTTGAAGTCAGTTCATTATTGATTCAGTGATGCCATCATCCAGTTCAGCTCTCTTCCAATAGTGTCTGTGCAATCAAGCCGACAATATTGCCAGAAATTAAGCATCCACAACTAAGCAAGTCAAAGGCAACAGTGGCAAGGAACCAAAACTCCATCTGTGACAGAAATGGAGAAAAAACCTTGGTAGAAACCAGGCTCAGTCAGGGGGCCAGTTCTCCTCTGGCCAGAGCAGCATGGCATGATTTAATTCCAGGCTGCAACACAGGTCAGATTGGGCAGAGGACTTGTCTGGTTCCCATGGTCTTGTCCTAATGACCGTCTAGTTAACAAGGTCTTCGCAGGGGATCTGTCTCTGGGGCCCATCTAGTTGACATGCTCTCCGCTGACATTCAGGGCGGTAGATGTCGTCTCTAGGTGCTGATCCATCATATGGTCTAAATATGGACTTAATCTGGGTGGCTACGGTGACCTTGGAATAAGAATGAAACAGACTAATATTGGCATAGATGCCATTCTTCTTACAATGTAACGAGTACATCGAGTGTTATGGGAAGTGTTCACTGTTCCGGTTGATCTAATTAATGCAGCCTAACAATCCTTTAACGGATTTGAATTATAGAAATGTGATAGTGTGTTGTGAATATGCCAGGTTAAAGAGATGGGTCTTTAATCTAGATTTAAACTGACAGAGTGTGTCTGCCTCCCAAAAAATGCTAGGTAGATTGTTCCAGAGTTTGGGCGTTAAATAGGAAAAGGATCTGCCACCCACAGTTGATTTTGATATTCTAGGTATTATCAGATGGCCAGAGTTTTGAGATCACAGTGTACGTGAAGGACTATAGTGGGATATGAGCTTGCTCAAGTACTGAGGACCTAAACCATTTAGTGCTTTATAAGTAATTAGCAAGATTTTAAAATGTATACAGTGTTCAATAGGGAGCCAGTGCAGAATTGACAGAACCGGGCTAATACGGTCAGGGCCGCTTGTGGCCAAATGGGTGCCCTAATCAGAATTTAATTGTGTGCACCCTCCCTCAAATATTAAGGAAGTAAAAAAAAAACACCCATTATAGGGGTTAAAATAGACCTTTAATAAAATATAAAATTAAACAATTTGTAATTAAATGGTTAATTAAAGATTTTCCACTAGTTAATCGATCGCGAATGGTTTCATCATTTCGAGCGGATAAAAAAAAAGTGTAAGAGGATGAAAATTATAAAAGCAAAAATGTTTCTCTGACTCATACTTGGGCGGCCTATGTGTGGGAAACATTGCGGTGATGAGGCTGACACCAGCAGATCCAGTACAAGTAGGCTTTAAGTTTGAATTTATAATTTTACTTAACAATATTTTATTTATCTGTTATATTGAAGATACTTTTTTGAAGGATATTGGTTTACTTATGGCCTTTTTGAGCACTTCAGCTAAACTGAGACGTGAGTGTTTGGAGACGTTGAAGAGCCTGTTGTGACGACCTTGATTTATTACAATTTTGAGGTGTTCAGTTTGTTTAGATTTGAGAAAATAAGCATATGATGGCTCTTCTCAAATCACCTGTTTCTTGTTTTTCATGTTATGCAAATCGTTGTTGCAGCAGTTGTCCGGGTGGTTGGTCTCAGACGATCTTGGAGGTGAAGATGCTGGATGTGGAGTTCCTGGGCTGGTGTGGTTACACATGGTCTGCGGTTGTGAGGCCGGTTGGATGTACTGCCAAATTCTCTGATATGCCTTTGGAGATGGCTTATGGTAGAGAAATGAACATTCAATTCACGGGCAACAGCTCTGGTGGACATTCCTGCAGTCAGCATGCCAATTGCACGCTCCCTCAAAACATGCGACATCTGTGCACATTTTAGAGTGGCCTTTTATTGTGGCCAGCCTAAGGCACACCTGTGCAATAATCATGCTGTCTAATCAGCACCTTGATATGCCACACCTGTGAGGTAGATGGATTATCTCAGCAAAGGAGAAGTGCTCACTAACACAGATTTAGACAGATTTGTGAACAATATTTGAGAGAAATAGGCCTTTTGTGTACATAGAAAAAGTCTTAGATCTTTGAGTTCAGCTCATGAAAAATGTGGGCAAAAACAAAAGTGTTGCGTTTATAATTTTGTTCAGTGTATATAATTTTTAATTTTTTCCCGAAGGTCAAAGATCAAAAAATTGGCCTAGTGTCCATATCAAAGAGTGGAGATCTCGGTTTGTCGATGGCAACATTCCTTCCTGGTATATCGGCTACTGTTTGGATCAATGGATGCAATGCCAATACTTTGGTTCCCATCTACTACAAAGACATTTGTGTTCCACCCCTCATGTTTGATATTAAGAGAGCAAAAATGACACCGTTGGGCCTTGTGGATATTGGGGATGTTATGAATGACCCAATGTCAGAAGAAGGCCTTCCTAGCATTATTCCCATTGAACGTGCCTCAGGTAACTTCATGTTTATAATGTCAGAAGCTGACAGGAATTGGCAAAGTGCCTATTACGCAAAACTAGCATGCGACAGACTTAAAGCACACGGGAAGAATAACTACGAGCTGGTGAGGTATGAAAAAGCAGGTCACTTTATTGAGGTTCCCTATATGCCGTTTTGTCTTGCTAATTTTCATGCTGCCGCTAACCAAGTGGTTTACTTTGGCGGCGAACCTAAGGCCCATTCAGAGGCTCAGCTGGACACATGGAAGAGGATGGTGAATTTTTTCAAAAAACACTTAGCTGCTGCTGATGACAACTTCAAATCTATGCTGTAAGAAAAAGGGAAAACAGTCATGGCCAAAAGTTTTGGCAGTGACATAAATTTTGTGTTTTGCAAAGTTCACTGCTTCAGTATTTGTAGATTATTTTTCCACGTGTCTATGGTATACTGAAAAACAATGATAAGCATATCATAAGTTTTAAAGGCTTTTATTGGCAAAACAAATATATATGAGTCAATATTTACAGTGTTGACCCTTGTTCTTCATAACCTCTGCCATTCTCTCTGGCATGCTGGATATTCGCTTCAACATGACTGATGATGAGCCATTCTTGCCTTATTAGTTCTCGGAGTTGATCACAATTTGTGGGCTTCTACTTGTCCACTTGCCTTTTGAGGACTGACCACAGGTTCTCTATGGGATTGAGATCCGGGGAGTTGCCTGGCCAATGTAATGATCTTCGAGCCACTTATTTATCACTCTTGCTTTGTGACATGGTGCTCCATCATGCTGGAAATTGCACGGATCATCACCAGATTACTCATGGATTGTTGGAAGAAGTCGCTCTTGCAGGACGTTTTGATAGCATTCTTTATTCATGGCAGTGTTTTTGG